GGGGCCGGGGCCGGGCGCACGGCCCCGCCCCGCCCCCTGCTGGGAAGATGGCGGGCGGGCGGGCGCAGGGTGCGTTGTGCGCTCCATCAATGGCGAGGAGACGTCGGGTGCAGCCCCCTCCCTGCGCTGGGCCACATAAACAGTGATTTGAGGACCAGGTTTCAAGGGTCTGGCGGTGCGGTGGGGCCTTGCTAGGCTCAGTCAACTGCTTTCTTTCACTGGAAACTTCTGGTTTACATGGAAACCACCTGAAATGTATCATCACCCCGACAGGCCAAGATGAGGAGAAAACGTACCTAGTTAGTCAGCTGTGGGAAACGTAGCCCAGAACTATAGGTTAGCCCTCAGGTGGGGTGAAGTAATAACAAAAGGTCTATTTTGTAGCATTCAAGCTTTCCTCGGCTTTGGCTTCTTCCCCCTTGGTCCGCGTGCTGGTTGGGATGATGTCTTGAGGACCGTATCCTTTCTACTGGGCTGAATAGTGGTGCAGGGATGAACTAAGCCAAGACAATCCAGTTGTTGTATCTAAAACTGATGGTAATTTGGGGCCAGGAGGCGATGCTCCTGGGTTTCTGGCATGTCGCATGTCCCCTTTATATTTCTCCATCTGTAAAATTCGGATAATTTGTCCTTGATGCTGCCTTGTTTATGTTCACCCCTACTCTGATAGGGGTATAGCTGCTGAGAGATTTGTCCGCTGTATTTGCAGCGAGAACGCTAGGTGATTGATTATCTGTTGTCTCCCTCTGCTTTTTGAGCAGGTACTTTGCTGCTTTCTCTTCTTCCTGTTAATTTCCAGGTGTTTCTGGTATCCACTTTAAAGTCCCAAGTGGAAATGGATTATTTAAACAACTCCTAGTCTCAGTGATGACTTCTAAAATGTACTTGAAATGTTTAAAAATGATAGATGCCAAATGATAGATGCCATTTTCTTAATTAAGAATGTTTCATCCAACATGAACAATTCTATTTTGACACGCGTCTACACAGATGAATGGAAGTGGTCAGAGAATTCAAAGTTAATGGCTATTTAGGTGCAAGCGATCATTGCTTTATTCCATTTATTATGCATAATCAGAATAAATACCCAACCAGCAAGGTATATACTTGGTGCTTCAAAAAGGCAAATATCACCCATTTGAAAACAATTTTGAACTAGATGAGCCATGAACAGGAATTTGAACAGAAAAACTTGACTGATCGTTTAAAATTAAGAACTAGAGGTCCAGTAGTTACAATCCAGAAAGAATGCTATGCTCATTAAAACATGCCTGACTTACAGGGAAAGGAAATAGAAAAACAAAGCAAAGTTTTCTCTCTGATTTTGTAAAATGCATTTTCTATTTTTATGAGATTACAAGTTTGTTTAATGAACTTTACATGTACTCAGGCCAGTTCCATACGACAAGGTTTTCCTGGCACAGGAATGTTGCATGAAACTAAAAGTTACATCTCCTAATTGACAAAATGAAGTCAGTAAAACCCTTGATACAGATGTAACTATGCCTACAAAAGAGTGCTTATGTTGGCTTGACTTATTTTATGTACACAGGAAGAAGGTATAGATATGTTAGCAGAAAACCTCTGTGTCCTCAAGGTGGCTCTGCAGACAGAGCTGTGCTGGCACAGCTGTAGAGGCAGAAGCTCTTTAAGTACAGAGAAGCCCTTAAAGTTTTGTAGGGCATTTGACTTGGTAACGCATGACATTTTCTTTAAGAAACCAGAGCACTACAAAATCAATGTGGCGCATATTACATTGATTAAAAATGGCTAACTAGTTATTCTCAAAAATAAAATTAAATCATCAGGTGGGTGTATTCCTGATGAAGGCTTGCACAGATGAGATTTTGGCTAACTAATATTTTATCACTAACTGGGAAGGAAACATAAAATAATTACTAATAAAGTTGAAGTGAGTGGTAAAGAATGAAAAGGACAGGTCACCCTGGATCTGGATCTCTTGCCATGCTGGATGCAAGCAAACAATATTAACAGAGTCAAATGTCAGATCAGACACCTAGGAACAAAGAGCGCAAGTCAGAAAAGTGGGAGGATCCTAGCTTTATCCTAAGAAGCAGTGGCTCTGAAAAGGACTTGGGTGTTACAATAGATAATCAGCTGAACAAGAACCCTTTGTAGTATGTTTTTGATAAAAAGGCTATGCATTGTGTGTGTGTGTGTGTGTGTACACACACGAGAATATAGAATAGGAGGGGAAGGTTACAGTAGCTCTGTATTTGGCAGTGGGGGTGTCTCTTGGTGGCGTCTCCTGAGACCAGATCTTGTGTTTACACTTTGTGCGGGCCAGGAGCGGTCCGAGGCCTTCGGGGGCGCGCGGCGGGCTGTGGCCAGCAGCCCTGGCACGTGGGTTGGGGAATTCGGCACGACGAACTAGAATTAGGCACGGACGTGTAGAGGTTGATTAAAGATTATTTTACTTACACCATAGATGGTCGCGGTGCAGGCAGGAAAACTTGCTTGCATTGCAGTTACAGACAGACACGTGGAGTTTGCTAGGCTCCACCGAAGACACACAAATGGAGGTTGCTAGGCTCCGCTAAACAAACTCGAACAAGACCCGCAGAAAACTCGAGCCTCTTGTAACAAACCGGACAGAGCTCTGGATACACACACACGGAGTTTGCTAGGCTCCGTGGAACGAGCGCGCAGGGCAGGGGTTCGTCAAGGGATAGCGTTCGGCGACGGGGAGAGGCTAGAGGTTGATCAGGCCCCTATATCCTCCTTTAAGGCACACGCGCGGAGTTTGTTAGGCTCCACAGCGCGCTTAGAGTTCTTCACGAGATGGATGTGAAGTCCTCCTTTTCCTCCTCCTCCAACTTGGGCGGAAACCGCTCAAGCCTCTTATCCTGCTAGCAAGCCAATCGCTAGCCGCCACGTGGGAATAATTTAGAAACAGACAATAGTGGGACACAAATATGCATACGGGTGGCGGGAACTCCTTTGCACCGGGGTTTTCTCTATGCAACTGAGAATTGCACCGTGCAAAGAAAGCTCCATGTGGCGGGAAATAATTCTGCAGTGCCGAAGCACATACAAAATCATACCCATTGGGTCATGACACACTTCAAGAAGGGCATTGAAAAATTGGAGACTATTCAGAGGAGACCCACAAGGATGATTAGATGATTAAATATACTTTCTGGTGAGAAACTAAAAAAGAGCTTGATTTATGCAGTTTCTGAAAGGGAAAGTTATGACTTGATCACAATACATACAGCACCTGCATTGAAACAAAGGACTGCAAAGACTTTCTAGAGCAGAGACCAGTCCCTGTGTTTGCAGGCAACCATTTATCAAAGATGGACACTTCTGCCCTTCTTACACACCACAAGAACCCTATGAAATAAAAAGTAACAACAGACCCAAGTAAAGAGCAGGAGAGACAAAGGAACCACCCTGATACTGCATTGGCAGAAAATTAGTTGGGTAAAAAGATGCTCAGATGATCCTCTCAAAAGGTTCAAGGCCTGTGCTACAGAGAAGGGCAGGAGAACCACAGTGGTCCTGGCCAACCTGACCTGGGGAAAAAATTGCTGCCTGCCCCCAAATCTGGCAATATTTGACTCATGCATGATCCAGGCACATCAAATAGACATTTAAAGGCTTATAAATACTCCTAGTTTCTGGAGCACCAGATCACCCTAGCCAGATCCTCACCTTTTGCAGTGGCCCAGGTGCAGTGCTTCAGAGGAAGACACATAAACTAGTAGAAGTTAGTAACGTGTTCATAGGGAAAAAAAGTTCCTCTTGGCTCCCAACAATCAACCAGCAGAAGCCTCAAGTCCAGGGGCAGGCAAGATATGGCCCATGGGCCAGATCTGGGAGCACAGAGCCTGCCCAGCCCAATGGCACATGGACTGGGAATTTATCTTGGGTTATTACAATCACCTCTATACACACAATGCAAACATGTGCAAGTCAGGACAAAAATATTTTTCAAAATAAAATTAAAATGTGTTATGGTAGATGTTCAATTTTTAGTATATGGTGTTTTTTTTTCCCCAGTTCCAAGATAGCAAGTCCCACCTCCCAAAAGAAGTATTTCTAGGGCAAGAAAAGGGGCTTCTGGTAGCAAATGTCAGGGGTTAGAGGTGGGACCTCCAGTCCCAAGATAGCAATGAGCGGGCAGGGCAGCCCTCGATACTCACCAAAAGTCATTAAGTGGCCCCTCAGCTAAAATAATTGTGCACCCTGCTCAAATAATTCCTGACATTCTACCCAGTTTCCTTTCACCACTTTCATGGGGATACTAAAAACTCAAATCCACATGCAACAAGCTAAGATTATTACATCAAGGATACCCCTGTCACATCATATTATGAAAGGATCATCCATAAATGGACGGAGCTGCATTTTGAAGCAGTTCAGATTCTTTGCCTTGACTATTTTTTTTGGAAGGTCATTCCAAAACTTCAGTCCTCTTTTGGTTATAAGCCTTCACCAAATTCCCGGTCTAAATTTGTCTGTGACCACTTTTTATAGTGTATGCCAATATTGCTCTTCAACTTGAATAGAATTCTGCCTCCCTAATATTCAGCCCATTCATGTTTTTGTAAAGAGGAATCATACCCTCTTTCAGGCTTTGTTCTTTAAGCCAGTGATTCTCAACCTTTTTTGTACCAGGACCCATTTGTAAACATCGATGGCCAGCTCTGACCCAGTGCCCCTCATTCTTGACCTGCTGCCTCCTGCCCACAGCCTCCCCGGTGTGTGCGGCATAGGGGACCCCAAGCAGCCCCCTGCAGGCTGGACCTCTGCCAGCCTGCAAGGGAAAAGCCATGGTTTTCCCACGTTTTTCTCCTTTAAGGGAGAATCCATTTTTTAAAAATTGTTCGCGACCCTTTCATATATTCTTGCGACCCACTTTTGGGTCATGACCCACAGGTTG